CTTTGAAGTCCTGATCCTCTGCCCCTACTCAGATGTGCTTTGTTTGCGTAGAGCTGTGAGTATGTGTGTTTGCCAGGCCAGTGATCTACAGAATGTGTCCAAAAGTGTGTTTTAGTTCATTTTTTGGGGGTGGGTTCTGTGCATAGAACCTCGTTCATGTTGGCAAGACATGGCCACCGAGCTGTTTTTCCGGTTGTATTTATTATTTATTCTCGTGTGTGTGAGCTTGCTGCGGCGCTGCTGTGGAGGTCACGGGTGAGGCCACAGGCAACTTTACGGGCTCCCTCGCCTTTTCATTTGAGCCTGGCTCTCCCTGAGCTCGCCCTGAGCCTTGCAGCCCCCGACACCCAGGTTGGGTCTCGCACTGAGCACTGTGTCCTTTGGGTCCACCTGTTGACACCCTATCAGAGCCGCAGCGTGCGTGCGTGCGTGCGTGCGTGTGTGTGTGTGTGTGTGTGTGTGTGTGTGTGTGCTCCTGGCCGTGCGTGTCCCGTTCACAGCCCGCTCAGCGTCCTGCAAAGCAAAGCCTGGCAATGCAGTTGTCTTGTTTTGGAGGAGCGGTCGGTCAGGCTGCGATTGCACCCCAGGCCTTTGCCCGCTGAGCTCAGCCCCCAGCTCACCCTCCCCCTACATGTCTGTTCTAACTTCTCAAACACTTGTGTGTGTTTACTGCGTGTCATTTAGCCAGCAGGAGGCACAGGTGTGTGGCGAGTGCGCGCGCGCGTGTGCTGTGTGTGCACTTGTGTGCGCGTGTGTGGTGTGTGCGTGTGTGCACATGTGTGGGGTGTGTGGGGTGCGCGCGTGTGCACCTGTGTGGTGTGCACATGTGTGCGCGTGTGCACAAGTGTGGTGTGTGTGCACATGTGTGCGCGCGTGTGTATGTGTGTGTGTGTGGTCAGGAACCCGGGCTCGCTCGCCCACCCTCTGTGTTTCCAGCTGTCAGCACTGGGCTTCTGGGAGTCCTCAGCGGGCCGGGGCAGGCTCTTGTCACACGCACGTCATCCCATCAGTTGGGAAGCTGAGGCTGGAGGATGGCTTCCACTTCGAGCCAGCCTGGCTAGAAACGGGCTATCTCGAAACATCAACACAGCACGCAATGCTTAGCGCGCGCGCACAGCGCCGGTGCGGTCTTCCCCAAACAGGAGCCACGCCTTCCTTAGCGCCGAGTCATCCTCTTATTTTCCCCACTCCAGTCTTCCTGAACCTCATTTCCGACAGCGGTGGCCCCCGGCAACGCGTGCCGCCGCGCTTCCTGTATTGATTTGAATCCTGAAGGACCGCCCTTACTCCCGAGCTGCACCGCGCCGCAGCGCGCAGGCGCAGTTGGACGCGGTGGGCGGGAGCCCGGCGCGGAGTGGGCGTGTCTAGAAGGCGTGGCTTTTAGACTCAGCGTGGTGACGGTTTAGGGGGCGTGGTCATGGGGTGCTTGGTGACTCGAAGGGGCGTGGTTTTATCTGAGCGGGCAGGGGATTGGCGGGTGAGCCGCGCAAAGCGTGGAATGGGCGTGACTAAGGGTGTGGCTTCTTCAGGAAGACCCC